CGTAATTAATCTTTGGTATATGTTACTATGCTACAATTTATATAATAATTTATTTTTATAATAATCATTCGATTTTCTAAAATGTAACACATGGTGCAACATGTATTATCACTCTCACTATTATTATATGTGTAATAAATACTATAATATTAGTAAAGTACAATAAACTTTTTGGTAGGATAAAATACTCAGAGATAACGTAACAATACGGTCGTATACAAAAATATCGCTTCATAATACTGTCAAATATCATTTCTATAAAGTTTCGACCCGATCGCGTCTAAGGTATTTGGTTCTATAATCGTATTACTCTCTCCATGAATTTATAGCCGTTTATTGGAATGAATCTCTTTGTTAGCACCATGCACGATTATACCTACATAATTACGTAATATTTATATGTTTTTAATAGCACGGGTCTACCAGTGACGGTATATTTGCCAACAGTGTTTAGCCACACTAACAATATTTTGCGTGCGTTCAGACATCTTTTGCTCTCATTCGTTTTTTAAATATGAAAGTTCTTGGATGATGTAAGAAATCATAAGAGATGAACCATTTTGAAGTGTTTATTATAATAAATTTAAATAAACTTGAAATACTAAAATTCATTTATTTAAATTTATTTAAATTCATTCATTTAAATGTATTTATTTAAATGAATTGAAATAATGATTATTATGTGCATGAGAAACTTGCATGATCGAATGTATTTTCACGAAAACTATCTAAAATTTGTTGTAACACGTTTGTAATGCAATTTTATTACTCGTCTAACCACGAACCTCCTTTCCTTACGATTTGATTTACCTTGAAAAGATTCAGGTCAGGATATAGTAGTTGAGTCGGCTTTTCTTCCACATTCGCCTCTCGCCTACACGCGTTCCAACGAATTCACGTTCGAATGGCTAAATTTCGCGTTCACACTTAACTTGTACTATGCTTTTTCGAATTCTTTCTGCGAGCCTGTTCTGCTGAATAGATGCATTAGCCCTATATCGATAAGAAAAGAACTAAAGAATAAATTTTTATTCGATTTTGGTTAAATAAATTGACTAAAAGTCGACAATTCTATTTATCCTGCTTGTCACTCCGTGGTAGTTGTGAACTAAGGTGTGGTGCTCTGATTTTTGAAGAAAAACCTTGAGAATATATTTCTCATGTCCAAAAGAGTTTTTAAATAGAATGAACTGACTGGAAGGCGATGGTGCAATTTATCTTACTTGCCACGCTTTCATAGTTCCGAAGTGACTGGTAGTAAACTAGTTTTTGAAATACATATCGACGAAGGTTTGACAACTTAGAAAGGTGTATTTTAACTTGAAACTTTGACTTGAACGTGACGTTGATTGCAACTTTCTCACACGTTTTTAGTAAGAAATCATTTAACGCTTTCATCTTTTTCGATAAAAAATGAAGAAAACTTCAAAAGAATATCGTAGTTAATATAAGATCTGATGGAACAAGGATAATAGATTTTTTAGTTTATAATTTGCAATATATTGATAGAATATTAGTAATTAGAAATTAAAACAATTTGACATAAGTATAGGTATTTTAATTGTCAAGAGCTACTATTATATCTATGGTGTAATGAAAGGTTGTAAAAGCACGGTGATAAATTAAAGAATAAATGTTGTAAAATTAGAAAGGTGTAAAGTTACGTAATATCAACATTCTATGTATAAAGATAACGCGTTGTTGATAAAACTGAGTAATTTGGACATCTCAGGCAATGTGTACTTATTTTTATCTAGCACGTCGTAATATCATGGTCAGTAAGCTTGTGACACGTTTGTCGATATGTTCCCCTGAAGTAGTAAAGTTTCAAGCGTTTTTGCTTATCAATAATGCCGACTGCGTTGTGTAATGTTAAAATATCTTTATTGTATGAAATAAACTTAATTGTCTTCTACGCATATCTGTGCGATATGATAATTTTGTTAGCCTCTAAACGAAGGTTGTAAAATAGTGTATCTAAAAATGTTTTATGCAGGACCATGGAGGTTACACTCCATAGAATAAAATCGTAGTTAAAAACATAGAACAAGGTTACTTCTGCAATATAATTCAGAATTTTTTATTCAAAAAATTCGAATGAAAGATTTTAAGATATTCCTTAAATTATCACCGATCCTGTCTAATAGACGAAATGATAATCACCGTCACGATATTCAACAGCTTAAGCGAACTATTACCGCTTGGCTCTGCATCATTCGATCGACGAGTGATTACCGTGAAGAGATTCGCGTGTGCCAAGCTCGTGACCGAACGCATTATCGACCGTAACCAAAATTTCGGATTAGATTCCGCCGGTTTGACTTCGATCGGAATTAAACCGACTCTAACTATTCCTAATGTCTCGCAAATTTCATTGCTGCCTCTCTGCACGCCATTACTTGGCCACTATCTAAGAGAATTGGCCACACAACGTTAATAGTTCGATCTGTAATCAGTATGATGCATTAAAGGAAGTTTCTCCTTCGATTTTATTACTTTTCAATGACTTGAGTTGATCATGCAATATGAATATAGGTACATAATATTACATTTTCTTTACTTTCTTCTGTATTCTATTTTATTGGAAGTTGTTTCAAACGTGTGCTATTGAGATTTTTAATATCAATTTTATCGAACAAATTTTCTTGAAATTTTATGAAATTTTCTTGAAATTTTATGAAATTTTTATGAAATTTTATTATTCTGTCTTTATTTTCATTTCGCGCTTGAAAAGATTGTCATGACGCGAATGTTTTACCTATTGGTTTACAAAAATCACAGAGCTTTCTGAACTATCGTAAAAATGTGTTTATTTGAGAATCATAGCTTTTTGTTATTTTTTTATTTTTCGACGAGATTGGTTTTGATGTTTGGTTATATACGCCGCGGTAGTGGATACGGGTAAACCACGCGGATTTGATTTGGTTACAGTTTGACTTTTCAACTCGTGTCCTGTTGTTGATTTAAGTCGACTATACTCTGGCTATTTTTATTTTTGTTGATTTCAAGTAATTGCGTATACGTATATTTTTTTGATTCTTTCTTCTTATTAATTTTAGTTCCTTTCTAATTATTATTATTCATATTGGAATTAATAATTTTCTCACTTTTTCATTAAAATTAATTATCTTTCTATATTTGTTTTCATTTAATAGCAAAAATAATGTCAAAAAAAGTGATATACTATTGTTTCCATATTTTGTTCACTTATAGTAATCGCATTCCTTTATACAATGCTTTTTCTAAGCATTTCTTAAACTTTTCATCGATCATTGTCGATCGTTTCTCTCAATCATTGTTCACTTTTCCTCGAAAAATTGTGGTTTTCCATTTTCGCCTTACTTTTTTGTCCTAATTTCTGTTTGTCTGTTCAGATGGGATCCACGAATGTGCGACATAAATTTTTCATTTTCATGAAAATTCGAAGGCATCCGTGTCATCCCGCTGGTAACGCTGAAAATTCAATTCTATCGAGTTCCGATCGATCGTGGTCTGCGGCCGGAGGTTACATTTGAAATTCCTCGACGCACATCGTCATCTACTCTTCTAAATATTTTCATGTTTGTTTCAATTCTGTACAGAAATTTATCCATTATTTCTTCATTCTTTACTTTATCAGCGTTGTTTGATCTTCTTCTACTACATCGTTATTTCTTTACCACTTAATAATTTCATTATGACTCTTCGTTTTGCACGAAAATAATATCTTTATATTTCTTTAAGATCCTATTTTTTATTTTACTCGACGTAGCTTTTGCCATTTTATCATACGATTATTGGTTTGAAACCAATCTTACCATTTTTCAGGATTTGTTTGACCCAATAATTCCAAGGATACTCAACGATTCAAATGGGAAGCACATACTCGGTAATCGTACTCCAGAGATACAAGAAACCATGGCTCTCGATGGTTTTACTGCTCTCGTGTGTCACGGTTAATTTTCCAACCGGTGATTTGTTTTTCCAATTGACATTTCCCACCGGCACCCATTGTTTGTTCGATTTTCTTTCTTTATATATTAAATACTCCCTTTTCTTGGAGCACTGTTTTTAAGGAAATTGCATTGAAAAAGTTATTACCTAGTAATTCAGCATTCTGAATTATCATTTTTTAAATCATTCGTACCTTTTATCTCTTGTTACGTACAATTTACTCAGTAACGTTTATACCGGATATTTTAAAGTATAGACTACGAATACACAAGTCCATATCGAAAATTAAATTGTTAAATTGCTATACTGTAATTTCAAAGACTGGCGAAACACCGTCAACTTTATAACAAACTTTTATGTTCCTCTGATTTCATTTATAAGTCGTATTAAGCTAACATCCCTTTCACACTGAATATATGTATTAACCTTGTAACTTTTTTTATTTCAAATTTGCATTTTTAAATATAATATAATTCGTTACAATTAATAAGTACTCTACTGCTGAAACAATATAGGGAACTAAATTCAATAAAGTTTCCCTTTCATAAATTACTCTTAAACTTCATTAGTTTCGTGTGTCCCCAATAAATCATTTTATGATCCTTAAAAAGATCAGAATCGCTTAAAACGCACGCCATTTTGCCTTCGTCCTAACCATCTACAATTTCAAAAACCGATTGCACTGGCAGACGCGTTTTCGTACACCTAAATCGGAAGTTCCTATTTTCAAGACATATCTTGTTTTTTTTTCTTTTACTAATTACACACCGTTCAGAATTATCATCGCGACACTACACAGATGAGTTTAGTATCCTTTGTACAATGTTAGAGACCATGATTTCCCATGGAACATGAATTTCTTTCATTCGTATATCATGGACATCACAACAAATAAATGTACTTAATATCGACTCGATCTAACCATCCAAGCTTTCGAGTATTTCGTTCTTGCTTCTCCAAGTCGCTTCTCCAATCACATTTAAACCCTAAGAGAATTTCTTTGCTAACTTCTCTTTTTCTCACTCTCCACGTGATCTCAGTCTAGTCGAAGAAGCGTCTGTTCCGCAACACGAGTTCTTGCTCTGCGCCTGTCACTCCACGGAGACAGTACTGGGACGACTTCTTTCCTTACTACGAAACAGAACAGATTCCACGAGGCTCTATTCGGACGTCTGACCACGAGACAATTCGGATCGATCCAGCTGAAAACAGCAAATATACATCGGGGACAAGATGTTCAGACTCTTAGACTTGTCCCAAATGATCTAAGTCGCAATCGATCGCAGCCGCTGATTCTACGTTAACATGCATGATCATCGAACGTACAGTGACGATAACGTTTACTTAAATCAATTCGGAGGGAAGTTCTTCTTAGAAATTAGATCTTCAATTCGTCACGGTTAAACTGGTCGAGTATTTTGATTTCCTCGAGCAACATGGTAACGCGACGAACAACAGGTCCACTGAGTAGCCAGTTATTGGAAAATCGAAAGTAGTTAGTTATCTACCAACTTACGAAATAATCTACGATCGGTTTCGTTCGCGAAACCGAGAAGATCGATCGGCTATTAACGTGACAGGGGTCTTTTGACGATGAGTGATCGATCACGGTCGGTCCAGGTTCGTTTCGAGGGTTTCGCGATCGGCTTGGCGATCGACATTACCCCGAGATCACAGGAAGCTCTCGTTTGGAGCGCTCGTGGCGATATCGATCGCCTCGATACCCTGATTGTTGAGACGCTCAGCATCGTCCATCTCGCCGGCTTTGATCTCGCAATTGTTAATAGGATCGCCGTATTGGCTCTGGTAAAACTCCTCCCTCATCATATGGTTCAGATTACTGCAGCGGAAGTATAGGATCTCGCGGAATGGCTTCCTGAAGTCTCTGTTCAAGGTCGCGTAGATGATAGGGTTCAATAGGCTGTTGCAATAACCGAGCCAGAGAAACAGGCTGGATAAAAATGCTGGGATGGCGTCTGGATCCTTGAGGAATGGCCTGACTAGGGCTAACACGAAAAATGGTAGCCAGCAGACGATGAAGGCGCTCATTATAATTCCCAACGTGGTACTGGCCTTCCTCTCTTTCGCCAAGTGGAACCTCAGTTTCTTCTGATGAGGCGAATTCGTCACGCTACAGGTACTGTTCAGGTGGTTTCTCACAATCGTCGACTTGGTCGACACCATCGGTGGCGTAGTCGTCGTGGACGAGGAGAGGATGGGCTTCTCGATCTTCTGCAGCATTGGACATTGAGACTCGTTGCTCTTCCGGGGACCACCAGCGAAACATCGTACCGCGTGGCCGCTACACTGTAACAGAAAGTTGAAGATTTCATGAATTTTTTTTTACGAATGCTTTTTCTTTTCCTATCACATGTATATTCAATGTTACATATATTAATGATTTATTAGCGACATAAGAGGTAAGGTTCACAGTTTGTTATACAGTTTAACGTGCTTTAGATATTGTAATTGCTTTTATATTGATTCCTTGTTCTTTAAGGTGGGTCTTATGTTAAGGTGTGTAAGTATTTCCAGCAGTATAACAAGTTAGGATAATGTGTTCTACTGTCAGATGTACTGTACATAGTACATGATGTTGTTCTTCTCTTTTTTCCTTTTGTTTTGTCGTTTGTCAAACATCTTCGATATTCTGTTATTTTAATAATGGACCGCAGTTTTGTAGCTGTATTTATCCAACGAGTTCGCGGTTCTTTGAAAGTTTAGCTTCTCCACTGGAACTTCTGAACACGTTCTTTTTACGGTGCACGATAGTCGTGCGCGGTCGGATGGATAGCTCGTTGGTATGCGGGGTTCGTGTGTGGTTTGAAGTTCTGTGAGCTTGGAATTTTGAATGAAACGAGTGGGTGAAGAATGGCGCTTTTACCTTCTGAAGACTGAATTGATATCGCCGTTTAAAGGATTAGTGAACAAGTGGATCTGTATTATGTTTTACAATATAATGTAATAAACACCGAATGGGCAATATAATGATGATATATCGCGGGATTTAATATTTAAAGGAATATACATATTATGCGGAATTCTTATTTGAGAATAATTTTATAATCTGCTTAAAGTAAAACTTTTGGATATATCCATATTACGAAAACGAATAAGATTTATTAATTGGGTTGTAGCTGAACAAATCTCATTAATATAATACGATTATTAAAATATAGTAAATTGCTATGAATTTATGTTATACGTTGAGAAATAATTAAATAATTGCTTTTAACTACATGTTAGAGTTACAATATTTATTTTATAAACTACTTTTTTATGAAATCATTCGACATTTCAATGCGTAAAAAGTTGTGATTTTTCCATGGCTTTAATATACGTAACTCTTTAAAGGGAAACTACGAAAAAAAAGGGAGAAAAGAAAAAAGAAGAAAAGAAAATTAAACTCTTCTTTTCGGAAAATCAAATGTTACAATTAATAAAAAAAAAGAAAAGTCAAATATCATAATAGACAAAAATTACAATTAAATTTTCTTCGCCGAAATTAAATGCAATTAAAGCGTTAGCATATAGAAAATACATATGTATAATTGATAGTGAACATATGTGTCGCAATTCGTGAACGTATTCATGAATCACACGCTACAGAATATATTCTCAAATTGAACTCGCAATCTGTGGACATGATAACAATGCGACTGCGGTTCTCGATCCTTCCGGTAGAATAAATCTCCCGTGTATACTGTAGCAACTAGATACTGATAAACAGTTATCATAGTAGGTAAGTACGAAACTTCGTGTTTTGAAGTCCGCTGTAACGTTTCTTAAATTGCAAGTAACTCCCCAGCGGAAATTGTACACCGAGTTCATTTAAGTGAAATAGAAGGAAATATTGGGTTGTCCCAAAAGTTTCTTTTGTATTATGAGGAAATAATAAATGCACAACATTTTTTGTTGTTTATTATTTTATTGAATTATGTATGATAAATTTTGTTCTATTGGAACAAATTCAATATCTCAATAAAATAAAATAAAGCAAAAAATATTGTGCATCTATTATTTCCTTATAAGATGAAAGAAACTTTTGGGACAACTTAATACGTACATACATATGCATTTATAAAATGATTCTCTTTGTCGCGGAATTTTTCTGATCCGGATTCAGCTTACGTAGTAAAGTATATAAATTAATGTTAGCAAATTCATTTTTTTAATTAGTAGCACTACGAACTAATTTTCTGCCTTTACGTATCAAATATTTTATTGCATTTTTATAAAGTATTTTTCCTTTTTCCCTAAAGTATTTTGTAATTTTATTTTAATATTTAATGCTTTTTAATACTATCTTAATCTATAATACACGAGGACAATGGAAAATTAGAAAGAAGAAATCTACGAAACTATTTTTTGTGCATTTTTTTAAGATCTAACCATTCTATGTCATAGCATGAATTTTAATTAAATCTAAATGGCAATGTCCATGCAAAAATTACAGAACGTATATAGTACTTACGTCACACAAATGACACCGTAATATCTAAATATATATTAAATAATTTAAATAAGTTATATGTAATACTAATTTAATAAATAAATATATATTTTTAATGAATTTTTATGTACTGAACCTTTTATCTAGTTCTAATACGTATGATATCTCCAAAATATTTATGATGTTCGCTTGAATGCATTCAATACGCTCTATTTTATATAAATATTCTGCAATTTCGTATAATTATAATCCTTGCTGTAATCCTTCTATCTTTTAGAAACTCTTCTCTATAACGTATTGCCATAAATGTCTCCTTAATACTATAGCTCATTATAGAAGAATCAATAATAAAGTATCTAAATTTCCATTCAGATAACTTAATTCAATGTAAATGTACAATTTATCTCTAAATTATTTCATTGATTATAATTTATTATTAATTATATCCACTTATAATATTTTATTAATGAACATTTATATATATCATTACTACATATGGTTCACCTGATGAATCATTATCGATATTTCGACATGGCTTATGATTTAATAATATCCGAATCTTTGATGATTTAAGCATAACGTTGAACTAACCTTCTTCCTTATCAAATATGCATAGACGCGAAGCCCTTAGGGTCTGATCTGCGTTTTGGCTTCGCCATCAATTTCGATGTTCGCGTCAGGGTAATCGGATTGCGTGCGACTTCGACGGGAAGTCGGTGCATCGTTCGATACAGTAAATTGTGCTCGACATTAAGATAATTAGAAGCTCTTTAGTCAAACGACAATAGGTAACGTGCTACTTAAGGTAATTAATAGATCACATGCATAGTAAATGAAGTAAATAACGAAAACAAAGATAACGAAAGTTTTATTGAGTATTTGGTGATATTACTAGTGACATAAATATTTAGTAATTTGAATAATTAATGTGTAGTAGTGTGGGATGGTGTGACGTTAGGGGAAGACGCGGCTGATCGTTTATAAACTACAGTAGACATAATGATAGTGTAAATTGATATTCGCGTAAGAATAAGTTAAGCTAATAAGCATTTAGAAATTTGTTAATCAACCAATTCTAGACGACATGTAATATATACTTATATGATAGAACTGTAGCAATTATAGCGTTACTATCGCTATTTACCATTTTTTAATTTCGTTTCTTTCACGTTTTGTTTATTTTGATTCTTCCAAACTAAACACGACAAATAATGAGCAAATTGTCTTATCGTCATAGTTCAAAACTCGCGTAGAATATCTCTACGATTAACGATTCGACTAGTTCGACTTTTTGGTTGGCTTCAGATCGGTTCATTGACCCGAAAATCTAACTAGTTGAATCGTGATCCGCACGAACAGCTAGGACTATATGCCGCTTTGTCTAGGATAAGCAGATTAATCCATCGAAACTCCAATGAGCCTGATTGCAAGGATATTTTACTGTCTGCTTGACAATTATCGAACGAAAATCCGTAAATGACTAGTAGATTTGCCGCTTGTTAATCGATTTACCATTTTGTCGTAGTTATTTTAAACGAATTACATTTGTTTGCAAAGTAAATTTTAAAATAATGATGAAAATATTGATCAACAATTAAGGCTGAAGAAAATTTGATTATTTTCATCTTTTATAATGATAACATTTTCCTTAGAAAGAAATTCGTTTACGATATAAAGAAATTAGTCTAATCATTAGATATATCTATGCAATTTCATATTTTTATGAATGTAACTAACAGAATGGATTTTACATATATAGAGGTTTGTTTTGTCCGCTAAATATCATATTGGGCATTTAAGCCTGGATATTTTATATTATCTTTACATATTATGTGCATTGTATGTATTGTTATACTTTTCACTTTGCTCTAAATGCATAAAGATGCGCAGTTAATTTATTATTTTTATCTTTTTAGATGAAAACATTTTCTTTATTAAGAAAAGGAAATTGTGACTATTATGTAAAATATATGATTAAAGTGAATTCGGTAAAGAGGCGAAGGACGATTGAATCAAACGCATTTAGATTACGTACTTATTCCGAATAATTCGTTTGAAAAAAGCGCATTATCATAGATTGCATAGAGGAACTCTGCGAGATTTACGACTACAACGTACGCTTGAAATGACCATTGAATATTAATGAGATTATCAGAGTAAGCTAGGTTTTACATATACGAACATGGTTTCCGATATCAACTTTTAGTAGAATTACCTCGACATAAATCGAACGCATAACAAACAGGATATAACTTTAGGACGATAATCATAGTGAAATTGGAGAAGAAATAAAAGGGTGAAAAGATATCTTTTTTTGGAAGAATATTTTATTTTCGCCGGTAGTTTTAGTATCAATCGTTTTTTACTTTTACAAGCGAATATTTAAATTCTTAATAGCCTATATAGGAAATCATTAACTATATGTATGTGATATGTAATTTGTTATTATGTCAACACATAACACGCCTTCGGGTTTACTTTAAATGATGTATACTTAAATTTATGACTCTTTTAAAGGAAGGAAAAGGGGAAAAATAAAAGTACGAAGTTTCTATGGAAGAAAAGATAGAAGGATAGGAGGTTGCAAGGCTAGCAAGATGGAGCTTGAAGCCCAGGATCTACTAGCGGTTTCATTAGTAAAGCTTCCCAGTACTGTGATAGTGGAGATGGAGATGCAGGTCAGAGGATGTACAGTGGTTTAAAAAATGGATTTCCTAATGTTCGTTAAATAATTTTACGCAGACGAATGTTATATTAACAAAAATTATATCCATTAATAGTCTATATTTACATATATAAAAATAACAAATTCAACGACTACTGTTAATAATGCGTTATAAAATAATAACATGATAAGCATAAAGATGAAAAACGTTTGAAAATTCTGTATCATTATAAAATCCTTCTATAGCGACGGTACCATCACAGACGCATTGTCCAG